GACCACACTCGCCGGAAAAAATGGGAGGAACTGTTTTCTTTCAATTTGAACAACAGGAGATAGGAGCCGGGGGAAAAAACAGTGTGGCATCTTTAATCAGCATAGGTCTCTTTTGTAACACTACTAATAATTAATAAATAGAATGAAGTCTACCGACATCTGTGTAGTAAATTGGGTCGCGGAGAGCATAAAACACCTACAATTACTTTTTTTTTCATGAGGAAGTCTGGTACATTGCTTTGTTGTCACATGTAACTGCTTCTTTCATTCTGAGAAACTAAACATGTGGATGAATCTCGGACAGAATAAACAACAACTTTGGAACATCTTTTTAGCAGACCGGCAAAGCAAGGACAAAACATCTGAGCGTAATTACGTTGTTTCTGTTCAGCATAAGGACGCCTCTGCAGATCTATAGAAATATCGATGTTCGGGATCGAAATGGACTGTGATGGGGGTCAACGTGTCAGAGATAAGGATGGCACGCTAACACTGCTGGCTCTGTAGCTGTAATTCAATAGATAACATTTCCGCAGTGCACGTGGAACCACCTGAGTTTGAGTAAAGAGAAGCACATCGAACCAAAAAAAAAAAGAAACAAAAAAACCCCCCAAGACTTAACAAAAACAAAACAATCCCTCCCCCCTTTAAAAAAACCATACACACAGAGACCATCGAATGCAGGGGGGGAAATAGACAAACAGATTGCAGACAGGAAGTAAAGGAGAACGATATACAACTAGAGACCCCCCCCCCCAAAAACAAAAAACAAAACAAAAAACAAACCCAAACCCGATCCAAAAAACAACCCCAAACCCCCCCCCCCAATAAACAAATAAACAAACAAAAAACAAACTACTCGCAGGCCCATGAGTCTAGACTGTTGTATGTGGTATAGTTTTACAACGCCTTTCAACATAGCACTGGTATTTACAAGGTCAGACTTAATAACTTACTGTCTATCTCCGTTAAGACCTGAGTCACGCAGATGGAAAGCCTTAACAACAGTGTGCTACTTGGATTTCGAAACAAGGATTAACCGAACCAGCACGGGATCAACTGAGCTATGACGTGAGGGTCAGCGTATCTGCCACACATCTTTTCTAAAGCAAAAGCAGCAAAAAAAAACCCAAAAAAACGAAAGTAAGTAACCGATGCTTTCTGGCCGGTCTTCGTGATTCACAGAAAATCGGTTTCAGGAAGATGCTCGATTTAAAAATAATAAAACTTTCCACTCGACAAAGAGCCTTTACATATGTAAAATGCTGGGTTGGATAAAGTTGCGTGAGCACTGGTATAAAAGACCCTTTAGAGAGAGGCCACTTATCATAGACGTGTTGAATGACTTTGTTTCAGTCTCAGTTAAGAGGAACACTTAGTGTACGGGAAAATCATACACAGAAACGACAGGTGGAAAGAAAAGAAGCACCCATCACAGGTGGAAAGATAAGAAGAAGAACCCACCACAGGTGGAAAAAAAAGTAAGACCTACTCCTGGCGTTCTCCAAACAAGTGGTGTGTACGTTGTTGCTTACGATGGAACAGCAAACAAACTTAAACTAACTCGGTGCCACAAGCAGACAGATAGTAGAAGCATGACAAATCAGAGTTTACAAAATAATCAACACACTCAAAAGTTCATAACTGATACTTTGAATAAAGAGAAACACATCGACACAATAACGGCCACTTAGTGCTGGGGAAAACACACAGAAACAACAAATGGAAAGTTAAGAAAATGGCCCCTTCCAACCAACCAAACACAACAGATAAAAACCTAAGAATTCAAGAACCAATAATGCCAACACAACGCGTCACTTGTCACGGCCCAAGGACAATGTCATACGATACGCACACCTTTTGTACAGGACCTTTGTCCGAAAACAAGCACGCCGGCTTCCCACAGCCAAACTACATGGGAGCTGGGATTATTTTTATATCTTTTTTTCTGAAGGGGGAGGGGGCGCGCACATAATGGACAAAATAACAGCCAGTTGTCCTGTCCTTCAGCCACCTGCTGCAGCGTGTCACCGAGGCGTTAACTGTCATACGATACAGACCAAAACACATCACGCAAGGGGGCGCTGAAACATTAACATACGGCTAAAATCGTACTGAAAAAGTAGAAGATAAACTAGAGATCCCACCAACCTCCTGGTGTATTTATTTGTTTGAGAAAAGAGAAACAAATCAACACTATAACAATCATTTAGCGCGGCGGGAAAAAGCAATAATGAGAGAAACAATAGAAGGGAAGAAAAGCAGTAGGACCTACCAGTAGAGCCCTCCAACCACCCTCCCAACCTTCAGGATACACGTATGGGCCATGAACAGATAATAGTAATGCCCACGAAGAGGTGTTTTTGTTTTGTTTGTTTTGAGTAAAGAAAAGCACATCAACACAACAATGATCATTTAGTGCTGGAAAAGTTTAGACAGACAGAAACAACAGAGGAAAAGTGAAGAAGTAGGACCTACCAGCACCGAAGAGGTGCAGTGAGAGAAAACCAGACAAGAATTCTCACCAATCTCCCGAACATTCGGCCAGTGATAGAAGAGCTTTGAGCAAAGAGACGCACATCGACACAATAAGTCATTTAGTGCTGGGGGAAAGTAAAGCAAACAGAAACAACACACGGAAAGTAAAGAAGTACAACCAGTAGAAGAGTTCACGTCAACCTTCTGGACATGAGACCAGTATCAGACTAGGACATCAATGACACAGATAATTATAAAGAAAACGTTGTAGAGGAAACAGGCCATACATTAACATGAATCAAACCACACACACGCCACACTCACAACAGCACACGAGGAGAGCAAGCAGCAGTACTCACCCCCATCTTTAGCCTCCTCCGGCACCTTGACGGCCCGGTCCCCGCACGACACCGCATCTACTCCACGGAAGGTCAACAGGGGCGGCTCCATCACCAGCAGCAGCAGCAACAGCAGCAGCAACATCCACCACTTGCGCGGCGCCATTGGGGACAGAGTGTGCGCCGCCACCCAAAGGCAGCGCCGGGTCCCAACCACAATCCTTTCGTTACACACACACAAAAACAATCCGTCCTTCACAAAATGAGTTCTTGTAACAGAAACTGCACAGACACTGAATTATTACTCGCTTATTATATATCACGTTTTCGGAAAGTCAGAAAAACGCGACCACGCGCACATCAACAACTGCAGGCTCCACGTGATAATCCACATAGAAATATCCGAACAGCGCATTTTAAATTCCAGCATTCATAAAATTACAAATGAGGCCTTTGCGCATCAGAATTTTTCACACCACAGGCCCGCTCGAGACAAGCGGTAGTCACAAAGATGCGTTGTCTTGATTCGAAAAGAACAGAAGTGAATGCAATAATGTTGACAATAACGAGATGACGTTGACAAGCGACCCAGCATCGCCAGCTGTTACCCCACAATCCAAGGGTTGCAAAAAACAATCACCGAGCAGAACATTAATGCTGAGCTATGATAATAATAATGATAATAACAATAATGATTATAACAATAGAACCGGGTAGGCGTGTAATTTGAGCAGAGATTCGACGCCCGCTACTGTCCTGGTCGAACGTGGGTGAGCCTTGACCGCCTCTTCATACTGGGCCTCATAGCAGGATGCTGACACAGCGCAAACATCTCCACCTGGCTTCTGAGGAAAGAGGAATAAAAAACGACAACTCATTATTATCGATATGAATCACGAAGTTGGTTTATGTTTTAAAATAACGAAGTGTGGCTTCTTTGAACAAAGAGAACAACATCGACTAAATAACAGTCGCTCGCTGGGGGAGGGGGAGGGGGAGAAACAAGAAAGACAGACACAAATAAACAGGGGGGGGGGGGGAGATGTGAAAAAGTAGGACCTACCTGTGGCGCCCTCTAACTACCAGCAAAAGAAATTTAATCACAGACAAGTTCGTTGATCCCGGGGGGATGACTCGTTGAGCAATGACAAGGCAAAATAGATGACACAACAACTTTGAAAAGAAGCACGTAAAGGCTGACTGGAGCCTGCAGCGCAGCACCTTTTCACCACGTTATCAGCAACTGAGTTAATGTTTATTTAAAGAAACACGTGAACATTATAACGACCATTTATTGCTGAGAAACAGCAGGACTAACAGAACCAATAGTAGGAAAGAAAAGCACACACAGACGAGATAACGGCCAATTAGTGCTGGGAAATACCAAGACTAACAGAAACAACAAAGGGGATGGACAAGGGGCGTCCTCTAAATTAGACTTTAAATCACCCGACGGTGCGGTGGAATTTGAAAAACAGTTATTACACATAAGTAAAATAACGAGAACAAGAACAACAAGAAAAAGAACAAAAACAACAACAACAAAATAACAACAAATCGTGTCATCCGAACAGAGACAAAAATGTTTACAAAGATCAATGTTCATTTAAGCCTTGACATAAATGTCATGAGCGCTGTCATCGAATGAATGGAACAGTCTGGCTGATTATATTACGTTACGAAATAGCACATATAATAATAGTTGATTAGACAAGAAGAAAGGAAACAAAAGCCCGCGTCGGGATGTTGACATTATAACAGCATCGCTACTGTCTGCCTCGTCCCCTTTATTCTATCTTTCCCGGGAATGTTTTACGCCCCCATTGACACAATTTAGATCATTAAGGAGGCTGACTACTTTGATCTCGCCTGTCAGGGACAACAGGGGTTGAGAGGGATAATATAACAAGATTCCCAGCAGATAAACGGATATAGTCGATAAAGAACTTTCCCACGTAAGTAACGGGGATCACAAAGATCCCTTATCGTCCATTAGTGCAGGGAAAAAGCAAGATAGACAATTACAAAGGCGGGGGAAATAAAATAAAACCAACTAATGACACCCTTCAGCCGTCCGATCGAACAGATTCGGACAAAACACGAGATTTATATAAAAGAAGAAACAGTTAACCATAAAGAACACTTAAAAAACACCCTGGGTTGGTTGTTCTATTGGGTTTTTTT